GACAATCTATTGCTTCATGGCCCCATTCCCAATCCCCGTGATGGCTCAGATCAAAATTCCCTTGCAAGGCCATCACTGCCTCATATGTTCTATATGTATATGTGGCATAGACCACATAGTTTCTTGAGGGCAGACACCATCTTACTTTTGGGTATGTACTCCCAGTGCCTAGCATAGTGCCCGGCACATAGCTGGCTCTTCAATAAATGTTTATTGATTGGTTTAGTAAATAAAGCCCCAGGAGTCTGGGGAAAGCACCATTCCCAGGCAGATCCAATCAGCAGCTAGAGATAAGAACAAGCAAAGGGACTGGGACTTTTTCCCCCTTTATATGCCTTAGTACAGAGCTGGGCACAAAGCCCATGAGATGTTAAATAATGACTTGTTATTATTGAACAACAATAATTCATAATGAATATCCAATCCTTCTTTAGAGAAGACATGTCTTTGAGTCAGAAAGGTCAGGATTTCCAGTGTAGCCAAGTAAGCAGCAAAGCTGCCAGTTAGCAGGAGAGAGGGGGATACTGGCAACTGATGCAGGCCCCCCAAATCTTCTTGGATCTACATTCAATTTGATATCTCAGGCTGTGTGCTCACAGAGCTACCATCCTCTCATCTACTGGCTGAGGCAGTTTTAAGATACATTAATATAAGTTCGGTGAACAGAATGGCGTTATCAACTCCCATGGGTTCAATTATTGTCTCTATGCATAAAATGCTCAGATTTATATAGCTAGCTCCACTTTCTTTCCCAAGTTTTTGGCCTGCATCACCAACTGCCTATTAAATATTTTCACTGGATGTTCAGTAGGCATATTAAACTCAACATTGTTCAAAATTGCACTCATTATCTCCTTCTAGCCCCCGCTTCTTCCATCACCCTTGAACCCATCCTTCTTCTTAATTTCCCCATTTCTTTTGTGGGCACTACCATCCTTCCAATCAATAGGCATTTATTGGGTGACTTCTGTATGGCGGGCCTGGGTTAGCCACTGGAGATACAGAGACAAAAATGAACAATTCCCTACCCTTAAGCACATGTTTGAGAATCTGGAGTTATCTCTGACTGCTCAATCACCCTTGGCGCTCCCCACCCCCCCATAACCAGGTAGTTGCCAAGTCCTGTTCATCCTACCATAAAAACATTTCTCACATCTTCCCCTTTCTTTCCACTGACGCATCCACCAGCTAGTTAAGGCCCTCACCACCTCACCCCTGAACTATTGTAATAACTAGTGTCTCTTTGCCTTTAGCCCCTCTTCTCTTCAACACACCCTCCATGTAGTTGCTAAAGTCATATTCCTTAAACACTACTTGACTGTGTCACTCCTCTGTTCAATAAATCCTAGTGGATTCCTGTTTTCAGTTGTTCAGTCATTTTTAAGTTGTGTCTGACTCTTCATGACCCCATTTGGAGTTCTCTCGGCAGATACTGAAATGGTTTGCCATTTCCTTCTCTAGCTCATTTTACAGATGAGGAAACTGAGGCAAATAGGGGGAAGTGACTTGTCTAGGGTCACACAGCTATTAAGTGACTGAGGTTGGATTTGAACTCAGGTCCTCCTGACTCCAGGCCTGGCAGTCTATCCACTGTACCACCTAACTGCCCTTATTGCCTTTGGCTCAAAATACAAACATCACAACTTGGCTCTAGCCAGTATTATTGCTCTCCTTTATGCCAGACTGGCTTTCTTGTTGTTGCTCACATGTGCTATTATATCTCCCATCTCCTTGTGCTTGCACAGGCTGTCCACCATGTCTAGAATACATTCCTTTCTCATCTCTGCCTCCCTTCAAAGTTCAGCTCACCTCTTATATAAGTCTCACCTCTTATATAAAGGCTTTCCTGACCCTCTCTGCCCTCCCAGCTTCTGGGTGCCTCTAACCCAAATGACTTTGTATTTATAGGGGTAGGGTTTTGGATATATAGGGATTTCAGAGGCTATTTAGTATCAACTCCTCACTTTACAGATGAGGGAACTAAGAACCAATATATTTTGTATTTACTTCTAGCTGTACGTGTTGCTTTCCTGCTAGAATTCAAACTTCGAGAGGGTGAGGAATTCTTCCTTTTTGTCTTTGTATCCCTAGTGTTTAACCTAGTGCCTGACACACAGAAGTCACAAAATAAATGCTAACTGATTGATCGATAGTCCTAGAGTACTCTGCCTTGGTGAGATCACAGGTTGAGTTCTGTGCTTATTTCTGAATGCCATATCTCAATAAGGACTCTGGCATACGTTAGGGAAAATCCAAAGAAAAGTGAGGATTGGAGACTATGCATTATGAGAATCATTGAAGGAACTGAGTGCCTGGGAGGAATGTATTAGCTTTCTTTGTGTATTTGAAGGGAGGTCATGTGGTAGGATTAAAGTTGTTCTACCGGGCACCAGAAGGCAAATGGGTGGAGGCTAAAGAGATGTAGAGTTGTGCCTAATGAATGAAAAAAATCCCAAAGATTAGATAGGACTAAAACTAGAACGTCTCAGGAGGTGGTGAGTTCTGTTCAATGGAGGTCTTCGGGGAGAGGTGGATGGCCATTTAAGAAAAATCCTTTATTGATGCTATTTTTTCATCTCACTGTCGCTTCCTAGGAGGATTGTTAGGTGCCTTCTTCCATTCTCTTCCCATTAAAATGATGTGATCTTTTATACTGAGATTACAGATCCACTTGGAGCTTGTTCTAGTATGTGGTGTAAGATGTTGGTCTACATGTAATTTTCCGCAATACTTCTCTCCGATTTTCCCAGTAGTTTTTGTCTAATAGAGTATCCTTGGCCCAGTAGTTCACGTTCAGGTTATAGGATCATAGAGGTTCTTTGGTTTATCAAACACTAGGCTACTGTGTTCATTTGCTTCTGGGTCTTGCTTATCTCTCTTCTCCAAATGACTATTTATGGGGAGTTTGTAAGGGGGCATTCCTACTCAGTAAGAGATTTGATTAGATATTCTAAGATCTTATCTGACTCTGAGGGTCCAAGTTTCTATGATTGTCTTGGGGAGTTATAAGAGTAAGTGAAACTTGATGAATTCATTAGTCTCATAGCCTGAGAGCTTCTTGGAAGCTTTGAAGATCTTTAATATTTCCAGGAAGAGCTGCTGCCCAGAGGTCCTGACTTTGCCAAGAAGAAGTTTAAACCCTAGAGAGGGAAGAGTGGAGGAGGCTGTTCCCAGCTAGTGCCCCTAGCATTTAGTTGACATCTGTTATCAGAGAGTTTGCTCCAGATGGTGGAGCTGGGAAACCTGCTTCCCAGGGCCAGCAGGACTGCTTCTTAATAGACAGCTAAGGCAAGCAGACGTGAGGCTGTGTGTGCATAGGCACACATGCATACCCCATGACTGAGGCCTCCAGAATGGCTCCTCCAATGGCACAGATCACAGTCTGCCTTATGTTCTAACATCTCTCTGCCACAACGTGAAGACTCAGAGGGTGAGCACTAGCTGTGATTCATCTTTGGCTCTGCCATAGCTGCTAGCACAAGACCCCTCAATATGGTGAGCGCTCAGTAAATGTTTGCTAAATGAATGCAATATAGCTTTGTACCCACCTAGAGCTGGGGAATTTCTCTTTCTGAAACATCTACCCTACAGTACACTCCTCATTTTCTCCACTTCCAAGTAAAGAGGATGATCATGAAGGCTTTCCTCAATTCACAGATCAGAAAACTTGGTCACAGAAGGTTTTCTCTACTTACCCGAAGTCCCAGATATCAGTAGCATCCACACCAGCAGTGGCACACAGGACTTCTACTAATTTGAGAATCAGCTTCACCCAGTTGGGTCCAGGATACAGGGACCAAGAGATCAAAATGGTCGCTTCCCAGGACTTTTAGGGTACAATCAACATTCCTCCCAGGTGCATTATGCTCCCTTATCCCAGTCTTGTAAAGAAGCACTAAGCTCAGGGAAAAAGGGCTCAGGAGGATGGGTAGAAAGAACAAAAGTGATAATCCTAGCTATTATACGTGGCTATTTACCCTAGCCCTGAGCCAATGACCACCTGCCCAACTATGTTAGGTTCTGACATGTCAACTGCTCCATGTGACCATTAGTCATACAATACATTGAAAATAAGAGCAGGTGGCCATTTATTATTCCAGTGGACTGATAAGACTGGTGATAAAGAAGACCCTCCCCCACAATCCTTCCTGGTAGAGAGTTGGTAGACCAGAGGTAAGAAATGAAGCATATTTTGTCACATATGGTCAGTGTATTAATTTGTTTTGACTGTAATTATTTGTTACTAGGGAGGAATGTGTGCGTGTGTGTGTGTGTGTGTGTGTGTGTGTGTGTGTGTGTGTGTATGGAGGGTAATCATTGGAAAGACAGTAAAACAACAAAGACTAGAAAAGTGACTCAGAGACCTTCTGGTCCAACTCCATCATTTTAGCGAGGAGGATGTTTTGACCCAGAAAGGGCAAAGGACTTCCTTTCAGGTGAGCTGTAGGAGATTCCCAGCTAGAATCATAGACTTGTAGATTCCTGTCTGGCAGGAGGGGATTTGGGGGACTATCTCATCCCCATCTAGATGGAGGAAAATTCAAGCATGAAAAGTAGAATTGCCAGCCTAAGAGCTTAGGTCTTCTGGCTGCATATAGCCCTGTTTCCACCACACTACACTGCCTATCTGTGATTTGGTCAACCTGCAGGGACAGTGATTACTCAATACATAATAGCAGATTTTAATGATTGCAAAGTTCTTTACATATAGTATCTCATTTGCTCTTCACACCTACAAAGTAAGGGTTACATGTTTTCTCATTCTCATGTTTCAGATACAGAAACTGAGGTTCAGAGACATTAACTCACTTGTCCACGGTCATGCAGTGAGCAAGTGTCACAGGCAAGATTTGAACCTGACAAGTCTGGTACTCTATCTAATAGGTCTCCCTCTCCCCCCACTCCAGAAGGAAGAAAGAAGGAGAAAGGAGGAGTCAGACACCCAGGACACCTGCCTAAGTCATTGAAACAAATCCCTGCCACAAGGAGGCTCCACTTACCCATCCGAGAGGACGCCCTCCGCGATCTCGCACACCAGGACAAAGAGCAGCATGAAGGTGAGGATCCAGCGAAGGTTGTGACCAGGGAAGTGAAGCCATGTGCTATGATGGATGTGAACTTTTTCACTCTGGCTGCCCCATCCTGAAGAGAATGAACGTCTCAGTCACAGACCCCAGAAATGGTGAAGGCACAGTTTCATGTAGATCAGTGTGCAGATATTGATGTAGATGATTGAATGTAAGCTCTTTGAGGGCAGAGACTGTTTCACTTCTGTTCTTATATCACCAGTCCAAGCCCAGTGCCAAGCTCATAGTAGGCACTTAATAATAATAATCAGCCTCTTTTAGGTTTGCAAACTGCTTTACAAATATTATCTCATTTTATCCTCACAGTGACCTTGAGAGGTAGGTACTATAATTACCCCCATTTTACAGATGAGGAAGCTGAGGGCTAATAAGCTAGCAAAATAACTAATACATTTCTGAGGTCACATTTGAACCCACTACTATCTTGACTCAGGGTCTGGTGCTCTGTCCAATTCACTAAGTAGCTGCCCTAATAAGACTTGTTAATCAATTGGTGGTAAATGCATACTTGGATGAATCGATCGTCTGAAACTGATGATTTCATTAGGATGAGGAATTGTCCACTGCAGGGACTCCCTCCAGCAATGCAGATTGGTAGCTGTTATGTAACTTAGGGCTGTAGGTAGCTGCCTGGAAGCCCTTAGAGATTATGGGACTTGCATAGAGTCACATAGCCAGGATGTGTTAGAGACAGGACTTCGATCCAGCGCTTCCTGATTCTGAGGCTGCCACTGATACACTTTCCTGTGTATCAGTACTATGAGAGATGCTTAAAGATCACAACGACCACCACCACCACCATCACCACCACCACCATCATCACCAACACCACCATCATCATCATCATAGCTAACATTCATATAGCATCTACTATGTGCCAGATGCTGTGCTAAGTGCTTTATCAAAATTAGGAACTAGGAAATAGTCTGGATAAACAGTTATAGACCTAGAGTTTGGAACCTTGAGTTTGAATACTGTCTTTGCCATGTAACTCTTGGGTGAGTCACTTGCCTTTAATGCTCAATTTAATCCTTTGTAAAAGGAGGTACCTAGACCAGATGGTTTTGAAGGTCCCTTCTGGCTCTGACATTCCAGGTTCTCAGTCCTAGGTATTACATTCTATGTTCTAAATTTTAGTTTCTTCCAGCTCTAACATCCTATAGTTCTATGTTCCTACTATGTTTTAGGTTCTAATTCTCTCTCCAGCTCTGACATTTTGATTCTATGAATGTTGAAAACCTGTTGTTCTCTCATATGGGGCTCCCTGAAATAATAACACTTCAGATTTCATTTTTCTCATAACTATCTGATGAGAGAAGCAGTACAAATACTATATTATCACATTTTACAGATGGGGAAATTGAGGCTTAGCAAGGTTAAGTGACTTGCCCAACGCCACACCACCAGTATATGTCAGAACTGGGAATTGAATTCAGATCTTTGGACTCTAAGTCCTGGACTTAGATTCCACCCCACTCCACTAGAAGGGAGCTGCAAATCCTCTTGGAAGGATTGGAAGTGGGGGAGACATTTAGGAAAAGAGACATTTCTAGGAAAGATAAGAGTGACTAGATGGTGGCAGGATATAAAGACACACGTAGACAGTATTGAACATAGGGTCTCCAGGGTGACATTACTCACACAGAACCTATGTGCTGAATGTCTTTTTTTTCTGGTATGTATGTTTAGTTTTCTCTTCTCTTATTTTTACCAACCTGTATAGTAAAAGAAGTTTCCCTGTCAGGAAAGGGATTAAGCTTCCTCTGGTATGTAAATCAAGGCTTGGATTTAGTCTTAGTTCTTAGCTGCTTGGTAAGGGTGCTTATTCACAGACTTTCAGAGTTGGAGGGGACTCAGATTGCACCTAGTCAAACCTGTACTTGAACAGGAATGCCTCCTACAAAATGTCTGATAAGAGGTCATCTAGCTTCCATTTGAATATTTCCAGCATTGGGGAACTCACTGCTTTACAAGGCAACCCATCACATTTTTTGACAGCTCTAGAAGTTAGGAAGTCTTTCTTACTCTGAGCTGAAATCTACCTCTACACATTTTCTATCCTTTGCCTCTAGTTCTTTGGGTGGCAAGAGAAATTCTTGCTAAAACGCTTTGCCAGCACTGATCTCCTTGATATGGATGCTTCCTTCCATTGATGCAGATGGCAAGTTATCTCTGCCTGTCTGTCCTGTGTGACTCCTGTCCATGTCCTCCAAGAAATTTGTTACAGGAAATGGGTCTGCCCAACATTCTGGGAGCCTTCTTCCAAATCTCTTAACATTGCATGGATACCAATGGATACTTGGGTTACCCACTGGTTCTATTCCTCACTCTGGCTAGATGACCTATGTATCTCTTTTCCTTATTGTCCATTTCTATAGTGCCATCCTTTATATTGCTTCTCCTTTATAACTCCTCTTCTGTAATGTGTTGCAACTTACTCAAGCCCACCACACATCTCTTAATTGCCATTTTGGTGGCTTAACCTCAATTCTTTGGAGACTGTAGCATTCCAGTGACCTATAACCACACAATTTCATCAGGAGAATATTGGTATTTAAAAAGGTGGTGCTTTGTTTCAAGGGGGAGCTTGGTCACTAAACAAAAGCATCCATAAGGCATATTATTGAGAAAATATATGATTGATAAATTGGGTTGTCCAGGCAGGTGGTGAGGGTCAGGGTCAACAGATGAACAGTCTGAGCATCCCACTGGAACCCACGCAATGTACAAAGAACTACAGGAAAGCCTCCAATATAGTGAGTGGAGAGCTGGAGAAGAATATGGACAAAAACTACATAGCATGAAAAGGCATGAATGGGCTGCAATTTGGAATGATGGAGGGAATACTCCCATTGATGAGATCACAGGACCATTGAAGTGTTACTCCTAGTTTTACTTTTCATCAAGCAGATGATAGCACTTCAAATACTTAAAAACAGTCATATCTCCCTTACGTTTTCTTTTCTCCAGGCTGAACATCATTAGCTTCTTCTAGGAAGATCAGGATTCAAATCCCTCCAAAACAACTTACAAGCTGGGTAAGCTGGATAAGTCACTTCACTTTTCTGTGACACAGTTTCCTCATGTGTAAAATGAAGGTGTCAGGTGGTCTCTAAAGTCCCTTCCACTTCTAAATCTATGATCCTATAGTTGGTTAAAGACAAAAGTCATAAACTCAATTAAAAAAATCAGAAGTATAAATGCTGCCTATATTTACTGACCTACTGAGGGCCAATGCTCACCACCAGGTGTGTGTGTATCATATATATGCAGGGGTGTGTTGGTAAATGTTTAATATTAACAAAAATATATGCATAACACACTTTGAAGTTTAATTTTCCTTATTAACATTTCATCCCACTACTACCTTAAGTCTGGATAATGAACAAAACAATGAATCAAGACTTGACTTGTAGCATAACATTGGCCAATTTCTATGGTAGAAGCATTCACACTGAAAATTTAACTATAGGCTCAAGCCCACTGGAGCTGGCTACAGCATACTCTGCACATATGGTACATCTGATACTTGTGTATTATCAACCGGTGGGAGTTGCATCACTACTCATGTTTATTCAATTTTGTAACACTCGTCTCCCTCTAAAAATGTTGTAGGACATACTTTTTTATTTGAAAATTAAAGTAAAATCAAGATGTTTAAAAGAACACGGACATCACCAACATAACAAAAACACCCTGGCATGTTGCAAAACTTGAGTTGGTGATAGTGACTTATGGAGCAAGCACTGGTACATGCATACCTTCATGCAGTCATATAGTATGAACGTAGACTCAGGAAGCCCTATTGTTACCTAGAAGCAGGCTTAGAAAAATGATCTAGTCCAACATTAACCCTATGGATGAGTCCCTGCTATGACATCTCTAAAAGGGAGCATCTAGATTTTGATTCAGTGTCTGTGCACAAAATATATGCTGATTTAGAACCATGTCCAAAGGGCTATAAAACTGCATATGCTTTAACTCAGTAATAACGTAACGCTGCTAGGTCTGTATCCCAAGGAGACCAAAGGAAAAGGAAAACAACTCATGTTTATATGTACAAATTCATACAAATATGTACAAAAATATTTTTAGCAGCCCTTTTTGTGGTAGCAGAGAACTGGATACTGAGGAGATGGTCATCAATTGGGGAATGGCTGAACAAGTTATGATATATAAATGTGATGGAATATTATTGTGCTATAAGAAATGATGAGGGGGATGATTTCAGAAAAATCTGGGAAGACCTATATGAGTTGATGAAAAGTGAAGTGAGCAGAAGCAGGAGAACGATATGCACAATAATAACAATTGTAAGATTATTAATTGTGAAAGACTTACTAATTGATCAATACAATGAGCTGCCATAACTCCAAAGGACTCATCATATCAAATGCTATCAACCTCCTGAAAAAGAACTGATGGACTTAGAGTCCAGGTTGAAGCTTATTTTTTCCTTTGTTTTTCTTGCTTTTTTGAGGGGGCTGGGGAACATGGCTAATGTGGAAATAGGTTTGCATAACTGTATATATATATATTATATATATAATATGTATATAATGGGCATCATATTTCTTGCTTTTTCAATGGGTAGGAGAAGTTATGAAGGGAGAGAGAGAATGTGGAACTAAAAAAATACAATTAAAAAAAACCCACCAAAATATATGCTACTTGGATACATGCCCAGCAATTGGTTCAATTCTGAAAACCAGGCCTAGCCAGACTATCAGGGCATCTGGATTAACTCTAAGCTTGGGTATAAAGTTAAAAAGGAGGCATTCAGTATGGCTTAATGGGAAAGATCATTTAACTGCGAGTCAATTTGATGGTTCAAGGCTTCATTATGACACTTCTTATTTGAATGACTTGGGTAAGTCATTTTACTTGCGAGTCTCTTTTAACCCATTTGAAAAATGAGAGGGTTATGATCTGTGGCCTCATAGGTCCCTTCAACCTCTGACATAATGACTGTATGGTCACTGATTTAGAGCTGGAAGAGTCCATAGAGGGTAGCTAGTCTAACCCTTAATTTTTTTTAACAGATGAGGAAAAAGAGGCCCAAGGTCACAGGGTTAGTTATTGGTAAAGTGAGCACTTGAACTTAGGTTTCCTGACTCCAACTTTAGGACTATTTCTCTGCATCTAAGTAGTAGTAAGGTACCCCAGGGCACAGGCATTCCCTGATCTAGGTTTCTACCTTTTCCCAAAGCCCTCAGTTCCTGGGAACTTAGTCGAACATGGGACTGACGACATCTCGCTGAGATAAAGTGTTGAGGAGGAGGGGAGGCTGGAGATAACAGCTACCTCCCCTCTTGAAGGCTGTTCTGAGGCTTAGCCAGGACTTGCACTTTGGGAAGAGGGGCAAGTAGGGAAGGAAGAAGAGGGAGACCTTGAATGGCACTGGAGGAGGGGACAGAAAGGCGGCCTGGCTACCTGGGACTTCTCTGGGCCCGCTCTGAGTCCAGTTGCTTCTCACAGAACGAGCTGTGTGGCCCCACTTTCAGCCCAGGAAACCTGAGCTCCCAATTCCCCCCTCTCTCCACTTTCACTGGCCACCCCTCCTCCACATTAACATTACCTGGGGCACTCTGGGGGTGAGGGAGGGGAAGAGGGGGCTGGCTGGACCTCAGAGAAAGAGGGAAGAACCTGTATGTCCTGAAGGAGCTTTCTGGGGTTAAGGGTTTGGGGGTGACCAAGGAAGGTGAACAAGGACCTATGAAAGTTAGGTTCCCTCAGGGGTTAAGGCCCCAGCAAAAGGAGTCTGGGGAGGGGCGGAGGCCAGCGGAGCCGAGGCAGGAACGCAAACAGAGGAAGGGGCTTGGAGCGCACAAAGTGGGGCTGGGAGACGGGAAGAACGAAAGGATACGGAAGAAAACAGACTCGGAGAGGAAGGGCTGCCTGGGGAGAAGCAAGAAGGAGAAGAGGGCGCAAGAAGTGTCAGAGAAGGGCGAACGGAGAAGGGCAGGAGAGCACAGAGAGGCTGGGGATGGCGGGCATAGGGAAGCCGGTGGGGTAGCAGGGAAAAGTGAGAGGAAAGTCCGTACTCCCGCTCGCGCCCCCTCTGCTGCTCCCCTCCCCAGACCCTCCCCAACCCCAGCTCCCCGGCCTGGCACGCTCAGGCTTACCGATGAAGAGGATGGGAAAAGTGATGAAGAAAAGGAAGACGTGTGGGACCACGTTGAGCGCATCCACGAAGCAGCCGTTGTTCAGAACGCCCTGGTCCACCTTGTAGGCGGCCGAGTCGTTCTCGCTGCCGCAGAAAGCCAAGGGCATGGCGGTGCGGGGGCCAGGCGGGCCGGGCCAGGGCTCAGGCTGCGGGCTGCGGGCTCACCAGCTTCCCTCCTACCCTCCCCGCGCCGCCGCGCTCCGGACCAGCTGTCAGCCGGCCCCCCACCCCCGCTCCACCCGCCAGCCCCGCCCAGCCGCTGTGACCCAGCTACCTGAGCTTCCACCTCTGCCCTCACCCCCACCCCACCCCAGCCCGGACCCTGGTGGAGGTGGCACCGGTGTGTGTGTCCTATTTAGTGTGTGTCAGTGTACGCGCGCTCGCGTCTTGGGGGAGGAGGGAGTTTGCAAGCCTCTGTGTGTGCGCGCCCGTGTGTGTATGTATGTATGTGTGTGTATGTGTGTGCGCGCTAGTGTGTGTATGTATATGAATGTGTGAGCGCGTGCAAGGGACTGTATGGCGCGCGTGCGCTGCTGGGTGAATGGAGGATGATCCCAATGGCAATTATATGTGACTCTATCTTTTGTGTGAGTTGGCTTCAGTTTGTGCTGGGGGCGCACTTTCCGTGGGCTCAGTTTGGGCTGGGGGACTGGGAGAGTACTTTGGAGTCACGGGGTTGGGCTGAACCCGGGGCTGCCAAAGAAGCATGATACGAGGGTGGGGCAATTGGCGAAGGTAGAACCAAGGGGCTATTTCTGAGCTGCTGGCTCTCATACCCAGACATTGACTGCCTGTTCCCGAGAGTCGAACGGATAGGGCCCTTTCCCCTCACCGCCCCCCCGACCCCCCTCAAACCCCATCGAGGGATGACCCTGGAAGGAAAGATCCTGAGGGCAATTCGTGCCCATAACTAGTACCCAGACCTGACCCCAGGAAGAAGTCCTGAGAACTACCATCACCCAATCCGGAGAAGAGAATCTCTGGTCACATTATTCTTTGGCCCCCAAATCTTCAGTGGCTCCCTAAGGCATACTAAGGAGAGTCTTTAGAGCCCTTCAAAATGTGGCATCATTGACCCGTTGGATCCTATCTAATATTCTTCCCCTCCACTCATTCTACACTTCAGACGAATTGGACACCCCTGTTCCCAAAGAGTCCAGCACACGCCTAATTAAAGCCATGCTTCCTACCTTTTATGATGCTCTCTGGCTCTAGAATGTCCTCTTTCTCTACTTTACCTATTGAGATCCTACCCAGTCTTTAAGAACCAACTCAAATGCCACCTCCTCAATGACCAGTCTCTGATCTCTCTCCCCTAATTACCTTCTCCCTCAGAACTTTGGTAACCCTCTATTGTACTTATCCTGTAACAACACATAGAAACAGTTATTATGTGTGTTTCTTGCTCCACAAGTAGCTACATAAAGACTTTCTATCTCCTTATTACCCAGAGCAGTGCTCTGCAACCAACCAGGTCACCAAAATCATCTATTAAGCACCTGCTGTATGCACCAGGCATTGTGCTAGGTGCCAAGCATACAAAGACAGTGAATGAAAACTGTTCTCAAGGAGCTTGCATTATATTTATGCAGTAGGTGCTTCAACTTCAATGGACATTTATTGTGAATGGCCACCTTGGTATGAAAGCAGCACCAGCAGGGCATAGAGAGATGTCCCGGGAGCCCGCCAGCCTAGGTCCAAGTCTTGCTTCTTCTACTTACTGACTCTGTGACTCTTTGAAAGCCCCCAGACAATAAATTGCTTAATAGGCGCTGATGTGAGATGAACTCCTTAGGGAAAAAAAAATCCCAGTAATAACCACACTAACAGTGTTTGCCCTGTAGCTAGTGATTTGTACTCCCCAAAGCATTTTCACACCTATTTTCTCATACTATCCCTCAGGACACCCCTATAAAGTAGGCAAGACGACAGTTCTGAAAGACAGCCTTCCATAGCTGGATCTGAAAGGCTTTGAGGGGAGGAGAAAGTGGCTCAGCACCTGTTCAGCGATGAGAAGAGTCTACTTCCTTCTTTAGTGAGGGTGCTGCAAGTTCATGCTTTGTAATGGGACAGCAGTAGATAACGGAAGGGAGGTCATTTCTCCCTAGGAGATTCATAGACTGTCTCCAGGATCAGTCTGGGCAGGAAATGTAAACTCATTTTAACGATGACATTGTGAGGAACGATACACTCTTCTCTCCCAATTATATGCCCAAAGTCAAACATATAAAAGAATTTTGGATTATCAAGGGTTTTTGGAATATCTTTACCACCCTTCTCTCCTCCATAAACATGGATAATGCAGAGTTGACTCTAAGAAGATATCCCTTCATCCTTAGAAAATCTTTAATCCTTACATACGGATGAGTGAAGTCCTTTGAGGGATCCTGCTGGGGATGGGAATATATCTTTGCTAAGATTAATTCCTCTACCTTTGAATAGAGCCTGACTGGCAACTGAAGGGGAGTAGTGTGGTATGTGATGCAGACATGTGGGGAAAATCTAACCTGAAATGCAGATGACAGTAATTTTAATGAATTTATTTAGCAACATGCTATATACTGTCATGTATGTATACTGTCAGGACAACTCTATGAGTTTGATGGCACAATAATTATCCCCATTTTACAGATGAGGAAACTGAGTGTCCTGTAGGTTGAGAAGTTTGTCTATGATCACATAGATAGAAAATGTCAAAGAGGGAATTTGAACTTAGACTACCTGATTCTAACATTCTAACCACTATGCAACTTGTCTGCTTGAGGCAGTCATAATGGCAATAAGAATTTTTATTTATATATAAACACTAAAAGGTTTTATATACATTATATATATTATATACATTTGGTCTTCACAGTAGGAGACTGCATGGCATAGTGGAAAGAGCTCTGGTTTAGGAGTCAGAGAGGACTTGGATTCAAATCCCGCCTCTGATTCTAACTATCTGTGGTGACATTGGGCAAGTTGTCAAATTTCCCTGAGCCTCAGTCTCTTCAACTGTAAAATGTGGGGGTTGAACTAGTTGGCCTCTGAGCTCTCTTCCAGCTGTAGATCCTATAACCAACCCTGTGAAGGAGGTAGACCCGAGATGATTGTTCACTTCTTTCAGAAGAGGAGACTGGAGCTCAGAGAAATGTGACTTTTCCAAGGTTACAGGACTAAGCAGCAGGGGCAAATTGGAAACTGTCTATTAAACAACTTTGAAAGATTTAAGATCTCTGATCGATGTCATTACCAAACATTGTAGAGGTCTCCTGATTAAACACATTCACCATTTCTGGACAAAGAGATGGATTCAAGATGCAGAATGAAATGTGTTTTTGGACATGGCCAATGTAGGAATTTGTTTTGCTTGGCTATGCATATTTGTTTTGAGGGTTTTGGTTTTCTTTTAAGTTGGGGGGTGGGGGGGGTGGAAGAGAAAAAATGCTTGTTAGTTGAAAAGTAAAACATTAAAAACCCCCAAGTCTTTGATCCCAAATCCAATGCTCTTCCCATGACCACATGGTTGCCTTCCATTCATGAGAGTGGTGTCCTGCTGCTCCAGTCAGAATTGATTTCCCAGATACATATTGATGGCATCACTCATTTCCGGCACTCACACTAATCTCCCCTGCATAGTTACTTACCTCTCCTCATCGCAAGGTCTCTCTTCCCTTAGATGGTTCTGCCTCCTCCAGAGGAGAGACATAGGCTTGTTGTTCCACTTCCCCACACCCTTAAGTATGTGTGCATAACAGGGTTTCAGTAATTATCTGCTGAATGAATGAATAAATGAATGAATGTATAGAAGTCGAGATGTTAGGGACCATTTGAAAATAACCGGCCCATTTCCAGTGGCTTCTTAAGTGCCAATCAGCCCTGCCCAAGTGTGGGGAAGGATAAAGCCTTTTCAAAATCAACTGAAATGGAAACACCGGTAGAAAGAGGGCCATTAGTGATGCTGAGGGTAAGTTATCTGCTCTTGTGATAAGCTCCTGGAAACGCCTGGAAACACTAAACTGAGAGCTGTTGTTAAACTGTGCTTGTAAGGTCTTTAGACTTTAAACAATAAAAAGTGAGTGTGAAAACTGGAAAATTCACAGGAAGGTCTTTGTCTTACTTTAATAATTATCTTTATGAGTTGAGAACCAGTATGGCATAATGGAGAGAGGCCAGATTTGAAGGCAAAAAGACTAGGTTCAAGTCAACTCATACCGAACATCAATACAATCACATGACCTTGTTTAGTAACTATCAGTGAATAATGTGTCATAAATTTATTTCTTTTTTCAGTGTCTAATACTATTTCCCAATCTTTCTTCCTTCCCTGTTCTGTGAATGGAAGAGTTCTATTATAACAAATATGTATAGTCAGATGAAACAAATCAACACAGTGGCCATGCTGAGAATGCATGTCTAGCTCCACAAATTTAGTCTTTGACCTCTCTGCCAAGGGGTAGAAGATATGTTTCCTTCTCAGTCAAGATTGGTTGTTGGTCAGATTGGAGAGGTAGGTTGGAATCAGGAATGTGCTAGAGCCAGCTTCTACAGCTCCCAAAAGCCAATTGTTAAATTTTCAGTGTGAGCATTTATACTGTGGAAATCAGCAAACAAATCACTATTTGACTTTGGGTTTTTTTTTGTTGTTGTTGATTGTATTTACTTAAGAAAATGTTAATAATGCAGATTAAAATAACATATGTTCTGAGTACACCTCACTCCCCCAAGTATCTAGTTTTTAAATATTAACTAGCACACTCCTGATTGGAATCCAGTTAGGAGAGCCTTGAATGCAAGGAATTTTCCTCCTATGCAAGGCTGATTCATTGAAGGTTTTGAAACAGAGTCATTCTTGTGCCTTAGGAAGATTGTGTTGGCATGTTTGAAGGAAGAACTAGAGGGTTTCTCTAGAGAGACGGAAACTTTCCCTTTAAAGTGTCTCATTTGAAGGAAGGCTTTGGGACTACCAGAAAAAAAAGGACCTTGTGGGAATGGGGTTTGTAGGAAGTATAGATGACTCACAGCCTTCTAATTGTTTGAATAACTTCAAAAGTGGCTAAGAATAAGAAATCGATAGCAATGCTTGGATAAGTAGGGAGTATTCCCTTGGGAAGAAATATCATCCTTT